CGCAAGAAATATCGCGAGTTCTAAGAAGTTAAGGCCTAGAATTTTTCCCGGAACAGTTGCGAGTGTACAGCGATGAGAAATCGGGCAGGACGACTCGTCCTCAGTCGGTGTTTACGCGGCTGTCGAACGAGTGCCTCGACGAACGACGAAACGTCGCTTATACTGCGCGATTATAGTCTTGTAGGGAATACAGTGCTCATACGAACAACGCGTTTTCGATTATACGCGATATTTTTCTGAAAAATTTTGACGTTCATTTCGAATCAATTTACACATGTATCATATATTTACAATTTTCTGTGTTACGATATTCTACATCCTTTGGATTCCACAACACCGATTTTTCTTCAACGAAGAGTGATTAAATCGGTAATTTCATTTCTCGACCAATTTCTTTTCCTGACATTTTTTACTCGCACGAAAGTTCTCTCAAGAATACGAAACTACTGATTACGTATCCATTCGAGAGCAAGTCTCGACACGTTTACTCTCAGGCAGTTGAGCTATGCTCTCGGAGAGTCAATCTCAGGCGCAGTGTCCACTCGCGAGAAATACTCTCGAGAGCAACTCGCGATAGTTTTACTTTCAAAAGGAGCGAACAGACAGCTAGCTTCTGTTTGACTCGATGTACGTACAGTGACCCAGGCTCGTGTTTATGTTTGGCTCGATGTATAGACAAGGACTCTGGCTTGAGTTTCTTATGTTCGGCTCGAATTTCTTATGTTTTACTCGAGTTTCTTATGTTTCACTAGCAAAAAACATCGCGAGCCTCGCACAATGTTTTGGTACGTGAGGTTGACTAGGCTCAAGATACATACTTGAGGGTCACTCACACGCCTAGAATTTTTCCGAGAACTGCTTCGTGTTACAGGGAGCAGAAATCGGGAAGATCGTTACGTACGCAGTTAGTGCTTATGGGCCTACCGAACGAGTGCGTCGACGAACGACGTTTGTACCGTACGATCATAGTGTTGTAGAAAATTCAGTGCTCCCTCGAATAAAGTGGTTTCGATTGTGCGTGGATTTCGAATCAATTTACGTACTTAGCATATTCGTTTGTGTGAATTAAGTACCGCTGCATACAAGAAGCTAATGTACCGAATTCAAGTACACAATGAACAGCTCAGTTTGGGAGAAAAATCAAACGAAAAGCGTATCTCTGCGAGCTACACATCTACAGTTTCACGGTATGTGCATGCGTGAATAATATGTACGTACATATGTATGTATATACATGTGTCTGTTTATCTCAATACAGTGAAATATCTTTTAAGGAAGTGATGTTAGGAAAAAAATGTTTTAACAAAAGTTGTTTCGTATGGAGGGGGGCGTTATGTGGTGTAAATATTTTTTTTGTACCCGGTACGATGGGGGAGATTTCAAAGTCAGTTTAATTTCTTTAAATGGAATGCTATATCTTTTTATACACAATATGATAGTGTATGTTAAGACGAGTCCAATGAGCTGCCAACAAAGTTATTTCCTTTCATGGAAGGTCGTAAAATTGCGAAAAACCGGGAGCCGAACTACCATACGTTGCTCACTGTCGCGTGTGGCTGTTTTATCAAAGGAAATGACTTCGTTTGCACCTCGTTGGACTCGTCTTAACATACACTATCATATTATGTATAAAAAAATATAGCATTCCATTTAAAAAAATTAAACTGACTTTGAAATCTCCCCCACCAGGTACAAAAAAAATATTTATACCACATAATGTCCCCCTCAGAACCAAACAACTTTTGTTAAAACATTTTTTCCTAACATCACTCCTTAAAAGATATTTCACTGTATTGAGATAAAACAGACACCCTGTATACCTACACCCTGCAGCCTCGCTATCTTTCACGATAACACAAATAAAATTTCCAAATGCAATATCTCTTACAAATAAATAAAAGTCATTGAAACAACACCTTTCCATACAGCGCTTCTTTTGTTCAACGTCCAATTTTTCTACTGTCCTCGTTATAATCTCGCTGAATATCCTTTTACGAAAGGGAGATATGTATTTTTTACATTTTTCGAGGGTTTCGTTCCGTTACTCGTGTAATCGTGACGCGAATAGCTAAATCTGTATAGATACAGAAAATTTCACCGCGGTGTTGGTAACACATTCTTTCGAATTTGTCGAAACGCGAGACCATACGTAGTCTCTTCGTCTGTTTTATGCGCTATCTTTCCGCCTCTTTGCGCCGGGGATACGTTCAGAGCCGAGGTTTCGTGCATATACGCGTTCCCGTCTCGTTATGACCGCGTCTAACGATGTGCTTCTTTATTTTCTTTGCTGTATAATCGTGGCTGGCCGCTCGCGACTGAGAAACTGCTCGTTTATTCGCGAGGCTTCAGAGGAAACATTTTGACCAGGTTTCCTGGACACTGGGAGAACGAAGATGGGACGCGTTTATTGTTTCGACTATATTCTGGCCG